CACCGATTGACCTATTGATCAGGTGGACTGATTGGAACTGATCCATTACGAGAATTGCCACGGACCTACTCACAAGCACTGATTGCAACCCTTCCTAAGGGGACCTTAAGTGTACCCCAACTGCACCCCACTGCCATAGGGCTACAGTTGGGGCCTAAATTATGTAGCAGGTAGGTTTTCACAGGGTTGGGGAGGGGGGTCTTCGTTGGCCAGGACCCCCTCCCCACCCTTCCTGGCCCCCTGCAAGTCACGCAAATACCTAAAACCCTAAAACCCTCTTGGGAGTGACTCCCTGCGCCCATGAACTAGGACGGTTCACACACACACACACACACACACCACGCTCTTCAGCTGTGATTTAAACCTGAACACCATCTCCCAACTCCTCTTCTAATCCTCCCAAACTTAGCCTGTCAATACATTCTTCACACCCCTACAAAGTCCATTCAAATAGATGATGAAAGAAAGGCATTTCTGCCTTGGCCGCCCGGAGGTCTACGCGGTCAAAGCCCGCGCAACGAAGGGCGATAAGCTTCACGCCTTCCTTTCAGGAAGTTGTGAGGAGCTGGGGTTGAGGGCTTTAGGATTTGGAGACTTTGAGCTTAGGCTTGGCGTCGGGGTTTCAGGAATTAGGTTTGGGAAGAAAGCCTGTGGCGGTCTAAGGGCTTATTTGCTTAAGGGATAGGATTCTTCCGACAGGCAAATAATCTGTGGGACTTAGGATCAAAGGTTTTGGGCTTCGGGGTTGAGTTTAGAGCTTGCGGGGCATTCCTGGGCTTTCTCATAGAGATCAAACATCGCATGCTACAGACTACTCAACAAGTAGTGCTCCTTCACGCTTACGGTGTGGATTGTTGACAATTAAGGATTTGTCGACTAGTGCTTAGAGGTTTCGTGAAGGATGCTCCTATAGTGTGGCTTGCGCATGTTGACGGCCTCCTTCATCAGAATGAGAACCACACCAGAAACCCACGATGTTCGGATCCATGCTAGACGCCTAACTTTTCAATACAGCATAAGGAATGAATCCCCCAAGCCTAGACCCGGACCAGTCCCCAAAAGACGCCTGATTCAAGCCTAAAGCCTTAAACCCTAAAGTCGTCCTGAAGTAGCTATCTTATCTACATGCTAAGAGTCTGCACCCCCAGGGCCAATATTGCCTTGTCGTATACCCGAACTACATTCGCAAGATTTCTCATTCAGAAAACTTCAGCAGGACCATCCGCCTCAACCTTCACTCCCAGACACTAGACTGCAAACCCCAGACGGCATCGTGAACTCCACACACCTCATCCTGTAGTCCGAAACCTTGTTTCCAACCCAACCTCCGCCAGGGCTTTGACGACGTCTTCGCCTTTTGATGAACTGCATGGCTTCAGGGATTTTGGGTTCAGTGTTTGGCTACTGCCAAAAATGTCTACGTGCGTATACGTCATGGGCATGTGTTTTCTTCCATATGGCCTATGTCGCGCTCTGTTTCATTGACAATCATACCATTGACAGAAACTCGTTTCTCCCCTGTCGATGTTTCTCATACATCCGGATGAGAAGGTCCCTCTTTGAATATGGTTGGTGTCAGTGTCATACCAGGCCACAATTTGAAAAAGAAACTGTCCACCTGTCGCAAAAACTCTAAAGCTGCTGCTGTATTAACGAGCAGCTCACAGGGTGCAAAGGGTCAACATCCCTTGATCCAGCTTTTAGCCTATTATCAGGAAGATTTCTCACGCAATGGAAGCCAAAAAGAGTCTCGTTATCCCATCCAAAACTTGATGTCTTATCACTACGATCGCAAAGGTCCCTTCCTCATCTGCATATTGCCCAGACCCGAAAGGTCTTAATCTCGTCATGTCTAAGATCAAAGAAATCAAACATTCACCGGTGCCATGTCGTGCATAAAGCCTCGAACTTTGAAATTTGAGGGCTGGGTTTGGAGTTTAGCGTGGGGCACAGCAATCACTCGAACAGTCCTGAAAACAATGTAGCCCTAACCCCATCGGTACCCTACACTTTCAGGACTTCATGCCCCGCTCAAACCAGTGGAATTTCAATGCGATTTGCCATTCGAATAGCAAGGACCTCGGCCCTAAACTCGAAATTCCAGCCCCCACATCCTTAGTTTTCTTGACCCTATTTGATGTGACACCCAACTGCGGGGCTACGAAGACCACTGTCCAGTTTCTATAATGCGTTCCAATGTGTTTGGGGGAATGTACAGTAGACTCCAGGGTTTACTTCCACGCGCCTGCAAAGTCGTTCACGAAGGTGCCTGAGTTTGTAGCAATCTCAGCCCAAGCCAATTCAGACCAGCAAATGGGCTTATGGCTTTCTGTGGGATGTAGGATGCTCATGACAAATTTTCTCGCTATTACTTCCATGACTGTCTTCAGGGTGGTGGCAACCATCGCTGCCATGCTTGCCATTGGTGTTGCAAGAATACCATGAACAGCCCCGTCAACACAAACCAAATTCCTCAAGAAGCTACACCATCATCAAGCCCACATGCAATGGCCAAGCCAGTGATTGTGATTAGTAATGTCTAGAAGATATGCAAGCATCATTCGCATGATCATCAGCACAATACGCAAAAGGTAGCTATGAGAACAACAGTAGCGCTGCGATTCTTAAAGTTGAAGAAGACCACACTCTATGACGACAATGGAAAACAATGAACCAGATCAGCACAATGCTGCTGTTCGGGCCGCGGAAATGACAACAACAACGCTAACAACCTTTGAGCGCAGCGACAGCTAAAACAAGTTGGCAGCCCGAGAGGCATGAACAGAAGAAACAACAACGGCATCAAAATGGCCAGCAGCAGCCTTTGGCTGATAACGCCTTCGCTGATGTATATACGACAAAGGCTATCATCAGGAGCAGCACTGCCAACATTCCAAAACAAGGGCCTCATGTGGACCTCCCGACACACGGATCGCAAGTAACAAACCGAAAGCTGAGAAGCCACCAGACCCTGAAGGATGAACTTTAGACCCCAGGCTCCCAAACCTGAAACCCATACAGTTATGTTTAGAGATTAGAGGCTTAGAAGTTGTCGCGGCAACAGCAAGAGCCCAGGTGCAAACTGCGGAGCAACCCTTGGCTCGGGTGACGGTATCAATGTTGAGCCTCAGGCACAAGCTGCACCCAGAACGACATTGGGTTAGGGGAGGGTGCTGGGTTTTAAAGCTTGTCTTCAGGATTTTAGGATTCAGTCTTTTCGGGGTGCAGAATCTGAAGATGAGTTTTTGTCGCAGGGCTTTACGGTTTCGGGGTATGGTATGTAGGCTTCAGGCTTTAACACTTGTTGCGTCTCTGGTAAAGCATACAGTTGGTACGTGAGGCTTACGTGAGGTCCCCTCATCGTAGCTTTACCCCTGGAATTGCCCCAGGCCCTAGACTCGTTTGTTTGGGGTGTAGGATTTGTAGGTTTGGGGGTTAGGGGCCTCACTCAGGGTTTCAGGGTTTGTGGCTTGGAGTGTTGGGTTCGGTGTAATGAGGGGGTCTTTCACAAGCCAGGCGTTGCTGCTTTAACACGAAACTTCACATGACGGAACAAAACGCTGAAAAGCCCGAACCCTCGAACACAACCGTGAGAATGCGCGTGTTAGACCCCGAACAAACGTTCCCAACCAGCAAGGGAAAAAGAGTCGGGGGTCCGCCGGATTAGACTGAGGATAGGATGAAAATGCAAGTTGGAGGATTGTAGGAGACTCGGAGTTTCAGATTTTGCTGCTGTGGCTTTGGGTTTGAGACCGGAGTCATATGCAGAAAAACTGCCAGCTCCTTGCTGAATACCTGTCGCGAGGGCTTGCCTGAAAATGGGACCAAGAATCAAGCCACTCCTTCAAATACTACTACTGCAAGGGGCCTTAACTTTAGATGGATCCGACAATCGTCTGGATGACAGCTTGCAAACACAAAGACTCGCGAAATTACACTGTGTTGGGCTCAAGGCTTCTTGTTCAGGAATTCATATGAGGTTATTTGGCGTCAGGGTTTGAATCTGCGAGTTTCGCATAATGATCCACACCCTCGAAGTCCTGCCCATTCATTACCTGCGAAAGAAACATCGCGCATCTTACAACAGGTGAACCACTTGAAAAGTAAATATTTCATGGCTTATATCGCAAGCAAACTCCACACATTTTTCAAAGAATCATCAAGAATTGCCACTCGCAATGGGATCTTCTGCAATATGGACGGCAGTTTGGCCAGCAAAGTCCACCAAATTCTTGTCAGCGCCAGCTTCCAACAGCAAACGAGCAGCCATTTCGTGACCATTCCTAAATCACAGCTGGGGCACCATTCCAAAATTCAAAGTTTAGGGCAACCATTTGTGTAACATTATTGAATAGGATCATCTTCTCAACAAGGTCGCAGATTCTGTGACGCATGGTGCAGAGCTGATTGCCCTCCAAAGTCTACCAGGTTTATGTCAGGCCTGGCCTCCAAGCAATGGGGGCAAGATCTCAGGTTCAACTTGTGGCTTCGTCAACGGTGACTTTTGGAGCGGAGCACAACCAGGCCACCCATGCCGGTGCATGGAGGTCGGCCAACCCAACACCACTCAGGAAAACTGCTTTGAAAACTACTTCTGAATTCAGATTCACTTTCAAAACCAAACCTGAAATCGGCAATCTGCTAAAAAAACAGCTGGATCCCTGAAAGCGAACAGATCAAGGATTTCCGCTTGGTGTTGCAGCTTGGGGTTTGCGGCTTGAAGTTTCAGGCTTGACTGGCCACTCAACCTTGAATCCTAAACCCTCCTCTTCTAGAGCCTCTAAGAGCACTTGAACCGCTGCGCTGCTGCCGTGTGCTGCCGCTTGATGGAGCGCTGATTGGCCTGCCCAATCTACCAAGCCTTTGTTGAGGCCGGGGGCATGTTTCAGAGCCACATGGTTTAGAGGAGGTTTGGGGCTGAGGGCGTCTACTCGAAGCCGTAAAGTCTTCATTCTAACTGGGTTAACGTTGCAAAAGTTGTGTTTCCACCTGCGGGGATTCTGGGAGTATAACGGTGAAAACCTGAACGTCTTCCTAGCAATGGTCCGAAAGCCTGTGTTGGCCCCAGCTTCCAAAAGCAGCCGTACAGCTTCCTGCTGGTTACATGTCGCTGCTTGATGCAACGCTGAATCGCCGTCAACAGTGACAAGGTCCGTGTCAGCCCGAGCCTCCAACAGCAGCTGGACAGATTCATTTTGGCCCTTGGCAACTGCCTCATGGAGGGCCGATCGGCCTTGTTCAGGGACCAGATTCTTGTTGGCTCCGTGCTGCAACAGGAGGCAAACAATTTTTGTCTTGCCAAAAGCTACCGCCTGATGCAGGGCTGTTCGGTGGTTGGTATCAACAAGATCTGTATCCGCCCGAGCTTCCAAAAGCACGCGAGCAGTTTCTTCATCGTCGCCCAATGCAGCGAAATGGAGCGCCGTCTGCCCTTCAATTGTAGGAAAGTCTTTGTAAGCCCTGGCTTCCAACAGCAAGCGCACGGCCTGCGGCTCACCACTATATGCTGCGATGTGAAGAGCTGTGCAAAAGTCGCTGTCAACGATATTTACAAAGCTTTCTTCAACACCAGTTTCTAGCAAAAGGCGAAGGGTTTGCTCGTGGCCATATAAGGCAGCATGGTGGAGAGCTGATTGACCTTCACTGTCCACCAAGTGCTTGTTGACCCCAGCCTGCAACAGCAAACCTGGGTTTGGGCATGCAACGGAAGATGATCAAGTCAATGCCTGGTTTGAGCTGTGCTGGGCTTTCGTACGCACAAGCACCAGGATCCCACAAATCAAGAACAGTCAGGGGCATCAGCATTCACCACAACACATAAACTGCTCACTGTATTAAAGTTTTTAAGCATACTCCAGAAACGAACTGCCTCCTCAAAGCCGTTACGCGCAGCAACGTGCAGTGCTGATTGGTGGCGGTTGTCCTTGGCTGCATCTTGCTCGCTTGGAAGAAAGTGCACATTCTGCACGTTCGTGGCATTCGTCGCAGGCCCAAAAGAAACGCAAAGAAGCCACGAAATAGTTCATATGCTGTTCGGCGTCTAAATGCTAACCCAAACCACTTCACCTGTAGAAGCCCCACACCTAAAGCCTGAACCCCTAAACCAAGTAACCCTGGCGCTTAACATGGCTAAGCCGAAGGGGAGTCAAATGCTGCACGGTGTCCAGCGCATCCTTGTCGACCCCTGCTTCGAAAAGCATCTGCATTGTAAACAGATCACCTTGAGACTGGGGTTTAAAAGCTTGGGGCTTATTCTTCAGGGCTTAGGGATTGAGCTTTAGGATCCAGAGCTTAGGATTTTTGCACTTACCCTTTGGGTGCTTGACGTAGGGCTCCGTTTTGGTGCTTGACGTAGGGCTGAAGGCCAAGGACTGATGCACCTGGACGCAAACTAATTCAGAATGATATGAGTTTGTCTAAATGGTGGATCCCTCTGGGATCTTGTCGGGATGTGTGCGTGCAAATAAATATACACACCTGTTTGTATTTCGTGTATGTTTGCAGCAATCAAAAAAACCTTGAGCTTGTACAGCCTCGTCACCAGATGCCGCCGCACAATGGAGCAGCGTGCGGCCAACAAGGTCGCGCAAATTGGGATCTTGAGGTTGTTGTAGCAGGTCTTCAACTTCAGCCTCGCCTACTTTGCCCTGCACAACCTTCCAACGAATTGAGGCTCAAGGTTAAGGGTTAAAGGAAAGAAGCGAGAAAGTCACAAGGTTTTGAGAAATGCCCACCCGTCTGCAAAGATCATCGACGTCGTGTGAGGCAACTTCGATGAAAGGTAGCTTGATAAGCTGTACCTGGATCATGGTTGGAATCTGAAACACCGCGCCTGCTCTTTTTTACTGCTATCAGCTTGCCAAAAATTCTTCTATAATGGCACAGGTACATCGGAAAGTGAGCAAAGACGCGCGTCATCGTCCAAGCTGAAGCCTTCACACAGCAGCCGCAGCTGAAATCGCGGCAAGCCACAGACCACACTCAAGCGTTGCTTGAGGCCATGAGCATCATTCAGATCCTCTAAAGGCACTGCAAGTATCAACTCCCCAGACACCGACCAAACGTTCAGCATACTTTGTAGCCCGAGCTGTCAGTCAAACGTTTCATGGCATGCGCGCGGGATAGAACTCGGCCATCTAACCTACATGAGCTCGGATTTGCCGACGGGCTCTTTGTAAGCTGCGGCAATTCTGGGACAGTAACATCCCCAAATCTTTGTCTACATTCCGTATGCCCTGTAGATGCCCTATAGACATGGGAAAGAAATCAGGATATGTCTGAGGGTTTCAGTTACATGTAAGGATTAGAACCTAAAAGCCCTAAATGTGCTGGAACAGCTCAAACCGCCACGGTCCTAATCAAGTTCCTTACCCTCCGTACAGTACACCCATTGAAAATCCAAAATAACCCATCCCAAAATCAGAAACCCAAACCTAAATCCCAGGCAGCTTAAGCGCAAAGCATGAAGGCACTTGAACCTTAAGCCCTCTAACCGGAAGCCTGCAAACCTCCAAACCAAGAGACTGCTCTGAATGATACTCGAACTCGAAGTTGCACCCAAGCTCCTTTCAGCCACTTTCAACTGTGCTAAGCTTGGGCATACAATTTTGGGTTTGGATTTCCGGTTGTGGGGGGGGGGGTTGAAAACTCTGGTTTGGGTACTCCCGGGTTCGGGCTTTAGAGTTTCAGGCTTTACCCCCCGGCCCAGAGTCGAAGGGTTCAAAGTCAGCTTCATAGACTGTAAAGTTCAGCCACTTTGGGCCTTGGGATTTAGGACATGGCCGTTTGCAGATTTGAGGCTGGTTGGCGTCTGATGGAAAGATGAAGCAGCAGGACCAGGAGTTGACTGTTAAGTTTAGGGTGGAGAGTTGAAGGTTCTGATCCGAGGTTCAGGGTTCTAGCGGTGGGTTCGTAGGGCCAAGACTTACTTCAAGTTTCCACTACATGGATTCAATCAACTTCCGGATCCTGAACCCTACAGCAAGAAGCAAGTAGAGGTCCAGCCGCACAAGCTCACGACTACCATTTACTTGCGAGGAACCACAGGACGGCGCGCTGTTAGAGGAGGTCTTCATGGGGCTTCCATGTCTGCTTATGAGTATCTGAGAGGGCAACCATATTGAGGAAGGTACAAACGAATGGATCCAGTGGAGATGGCACAGACTTCCCAAAATCTTAGCTTCATCTTCGTGATGATAAATCTTAACTCTGACCTAGGGTCTACAGGGGGCCTACAGGGGGCCTACATGAACAGAAAACAAAAGTAAAGGACAGTATCACCCCACATGTATAACCTTGGCAGAATCTGAAGGGATGATAGAAGACAAAAGAAGAAAGAAGGCCCCAAAACTCAGGCCCGAACCCCTTTGATTTTTGGGACCGGACTTAAATGCTTGATTTGGAATCAACACATTATGTTAGGACACATGGACAGCCCCTGTAGCGTCAAAAAAATAGCCCTACCCACAACTAGTGTTTTGCGGCAGGCCGCCATGGCCAAGGCATTGCAGCAACTTTGCCCATTGTCCCCTGTCGATGTGCCAACCCCCATTCACACACCGTGAACCGTGAAAACTCTGCAACCCAAACCACTATATAAGCCAAAGCAACTATAACGTGGAACAGCTAAGAACCCCAACATCAGGAATCTGCAAATCTAATACCTTAAAATAACCCAAACCCATCACCCCTAAAGTCCCAAACCCTACACCGTAAAAAGTGGAACCCATACAACTCCCAACCCAGCCCAGGTCCTCGTTAGTTCGGTCAAACCAATCGCGGTCATAGGGCGCACACGAGAAAATGGCAACCTCCAGTTCTGCTGCAGGTCTGGGGCGCACGGTTGAGGGGCTACGCAAGGTTTCTGGTTGGCTTGGGGAGTCAGGGCGTATGTGTTAAAACTGTTGAATTCGGGTCTAAGAGTCTAAGGTTTGGGATTGGGTGTTTAGAGAGCATGCGGGGGAAAGTACAGATAGGGCTTCCAAGTTCCGGCTTGAGGTGATGGGTCGTGGGCTTAGGGATCTGGATTGTGGGGCTGATAGTTGTGGGCCATATAGATCTATGCATAACATCATACAAGGGTTGAAAACCGACTTAGAATCTTTAGAAGGAATCATGCGAGAACTGATTACATATCAGGGGCTCAGGCTTTCTTGCTTGCCATCACGCATCTTCTGTTCTGGTACGAAAGCACATTCCTGGCTGCAAGTATGAGGAATGAGTCATAACAAACGTCCAACGTAAAACCTAGGCCCTGGATCATGAAGAATGTCAGAACCGGGCACTGATCCCTTCATGATGGTGCTCATCATTGCCGAGTGGTCTGGGATGTCCCAGTAACCCTAAACCCCAGACCCTAATTCTTAAATTCATAAACCCCACAAACACCCTGAGCCCAAAAACTCTGATCACCAAGACTTGAACCCTGTCTTTGAAGGGATTGGGGTTTCAGGTTGCGGATTTAGCTACCGTTGTGCGAAATAGCAGACTTGATAGCCAAATTTCGTATTGGCTTGGATTGTACGTTGTGCCTGTACAGAACATCAGCAGAATTGTGCACAGACCCACGTATGCCCCAAAACCAACAACCAGACTGGAGCATTTTGAATACCCTAGTCGCCGCATACACTCGTGGAACCTTCCCGAAAAGAAACCTAAACCTTGACTCCAAATTCCCTCCTGGAAACCGAAGACCCCGGAACCCCACTCCCCAAACCCTGAATGCAAGAGCCTGAGCCCTGAATCCCCAAACTAAACCTACACCACACACCTAATCTTAAATCCCGAACCCAAAGAAAAAGTCTCATGGCACAGCTGCCTTGAAAGAGCTGCGCTTGCGCAAGGCTCGGACCTTTGTTCAACGCGTTCTTGTATGGCGTATGTTGCAAGATTTAGGGTCCAGGGATGCACTTCAGGGATCAGGCTTAAAGGTGTAAGGATGAAGCTTTAAGGTTCAATGATTAAGGCACAGGCCTTAAAGCCTTTGGAGCAAGGCGCATGGGCTACGGTCAATATTCCTGCCTTAAAGATTAATTAAGGTCACAGCTGATATTCTCAAAGAATATGGTCCGTGGACATGTGGTCCTCTGTGGAATGAATGAGAGCTCAAGATAAATCAGGATAAGGCACCTCAAGTCTGCCTTTAATGCTCTTGCCATTGACCGTAGCTCACTCGGGAGTTTGCCTGACTACTGATTACTGTTCCACGCATGTGTCTTCCCAAGTCATGATCCAGCTTAGGTTTTGCCTTGGTTTCTGTCTTCTGGGCCTCTGCGCCTTGGAGTTCCAAGGTTCAAGGGTTCAGGGTTTTGCATTCCAGGCGTAGGGATCATGTTGCCCGAACTCTGAGTCCTGAACCTGAACCCCTTCACAATGAAAGACCTACGGTGCACCGGGTGCTTCGAAGGCTTTTTGATTCTCAACCCCACCGACTGTCCGTTCTTGAGCCCTACAACCCTGAACACGAAACCCCAAACCGCATGCAGCACGTGCTGAATGCCCAACCTAGAAGAACCTAAAACCTTAAACCAAACCCTCAAGACTAACCCCCAAACCCAATGCTACGCCCGCAGAATCATAATCTCAAGACCCCAAACTCCCTAGACCTCAATCCTAAACTATAATCCATGGACCCAGAACCAAATGCCCTAAGTCAAAACCCCAAAATTCCAAACCCCAAACATCAATTCCCCAAAATCCTACTGGCAAGCCAGGTGCCGGAGAACGATCGCGAAAGAGCCATGAAACAAAGTCCTCGGCAGAGAGATTGACAGATAACCCATGTAAGAACTGTTTGGGTGTTGAGGATTTCGAGTTCGGGGTTTCAGCGTTCACGGTTCCGGGCCGGCTTTGCCCAGACTTTTGTATGTAGTTACGTTGTATGGGTCCTAGTCATGTATCTTACGGAGGAGCATCAGTGGAGGGTCCAACTAGAGTTCGAGGCCAAAGGAACTGCATACAGGTTCCGGGTACAGACCCTAATCTGAATACATACGGACATAATTTAAGACTCAAGCTTGAGGGAGTGTTATGGTGGGATTCGCCCTAATACACGACCTCATGCCTGATAATGACATGGAAGAAGCCAGCCACGTCTAGATTAAGGAAATCGGATTCAGGCATGACAGGTCTGGCCACAAGGCGCTTGATTTTTCATCTTGAGGAGTGGGGTTACCAGACAACCCTTGACCCGTTAACCCTCCACCCGAAACACCCTCTCTGAGACTTCCGAAGCCCGCAAAGACAGTTTCCCTTTACCTCCATGCCCGGTCGGCTTGAAGTGGATACAGTGCCAACTCCAACGCTTCAACCCTCAACCCTGAGTTCATCACGATCGCGACATGTGGACCGTGTGGATGTGTTTACAAAGCTCAAAAGGATACATCCCAAATCTCTCACTCTACGGCTCCGCTTGTATCAATAACTGCCCGCATGGTCCGTCCCTATGAGGTCACCATAGAGTGCAGTTCTCACAGCAAACAGAAGACGGAATCCCAGCGTAGTGGTGTCACGAGAAATCCCTGTGTCATCCCGAAATTGACCCGTCAAAGTTGCCGCGTGTCCTTGTATTCCACCACCTCTCCCCAGGGATGCAACAGAGACTCCTCATCTTGGGCATTTGTGGTTGAGGTTCCAGGTTGCAACTAGCAGACTCTTTTCAAGCCTGAGAGAAAATCATTTCAGGGCCAGTGAGGTGGGGCCCATGGTTTTGGTTCATGGGTTTAGAATTGAGGGGTTATGTTTGAAAGGTTTGGGAGGCAGGGCTTGGAACACGGGTTGCGGGTTTAGGGCTCAAGGTTTGTGGCCAAGGGTGTATCTGACTTCGGGCTGGGGCCATAGGGTCTGAGGCTCATGGCTGAGAATTCTGGGATCGAGGTGGTATGAGGGAATGGCCGGTCATGTTCGGTTCAAGAGCTTCTCAACTCGCCAGGTTTAGCAGATCTTCCAAAACCCCAAGATGCAAATCCAAAACAGAAACATTAACCCAGCCAACAGGCTGCTTGCTTAGGATGCCTAAGGCAACAGTGGCTTACGGGCTACGCGCGCAGTCTACAAGGCTGCGTGGGGTCTACGGAAAACTCTAGACAAGATGAGGCAAGATGTTCACTAGATGCCCCCCACTTCTTGTGGCAAGGGATCTGAAGCATGTGTTGGGAGTCTCACCGCTCGACGGAAACATCACACAAGCTGCTCCATGAGACTGTTTAAGAGCACGCTCAGGATGGGACATCAATGCCATTAACAATGCTATGGTTGTCCATCAAACTCGCGTCACAGCTGCTGCGCGCTAAATACGTCATCAGCATCATGTCAGCTAATGTTTGAACAGTTGCTCGTGCGTGCTGATAAGTACAGACACAGCTGTATCTGAGGCTGCTCAATTAAATCCGTTGTCGCGACAATACCATCAATTGGCACCAGGCGAAGTCCAATCTCTGAAAGATAGTCTGTGCAAATTTATTCAAGCTTTCGATTCTTGGCACCCCCAGAGATGCCAAGGAACACCTACAAAACCCGACAAGGAGCCCTTACACCCTTGAACAGCCGGAGACCAGCCCATATGTGCTCCCTGAACATTCTCCACAACAATATGGAAGCTGCAGTCCATGCAATGTTCAGCCCCAGACAATGCCCCAGCAACACCCCAGAAACCCCTTCAACCACTAACCAAGAGAACGCAGGTTGCCAAGCCAAAATTCTAGATCCGCAGCTCCTAAAACTAGACACCATGAACCCTAAACCCTCAAACCTGAAACCACGCCCTGAAAACCAAAACCCTAACCAGACAAGTCACGATCTCATCATCATGCCAGGCATCTGGTAGAGCGGCGTGCAGGGCCTTTTCTCGATGTTTAAAGTTTCGGGGTTGAGGTTAAGCATGGTCTTGTTTCTTCTTAAGGAGCTTAGCTTTGGAAAAGTTCGCAGCGGATCAAGATAGGATTGATTCAGGAACACGATTTACGACGCCACAACTGCATCATATCTCCTCTACGTATCCCAGAAGGAAAACACTATTATTAGAACCCTCGGTGTAGGTGGGAGGGATATTTGGAAACTCAGATTCAGTGACGAGGGTTCAGGGACTACTCTAGGGCGCGTCCCAAGGATCTGCGGTCCATCAAGCGGCCACGCGTGTCTATGTAACGTTGAACAGGGGGCGTACTACAAGCCCAAAGTCAGGTTCCACGAACGGGAACCCAGAGCCTCCCCGATACAGAGACCCATACAGAAAAGTTTGTGTCCACTTTGCTCACAAGCCTTTTGACTCAACTGTAACCCTTCTCCGCTGCTCCGCTCTGCCTTGGCCAAGAGCTCGTGGCTAATAGTTCCAAGGCCTTCCACAAAAGCCGGTTCAGGGTTCTAACGTTCCGCAGACATGGAACCCTGTGCGGCCCGTTTGGGATTCCATGTTTTGGGGGGATTTAGGGGTTCATGCTTAAGGCTTTGCGGGTTCTGTGCGCAGAGGGCCCCAGTGTCCAGGCACTGTTTGTGAGTTGTTGGAGCTCTTTTTGAATTATCCGGAGCTCTGAACACAAACACTAGGGGCTTTGCATATATGTATATGAATAAATACATATATATGTGTATCTATCTACTTATTTCTTTAATCTATCTATATTATCTAAGGCTAGACATAAAATCAATATATTGTATGCCGCTGGCTTAACTACGTAATGCTCATGCGACTGCGACTGTGTTCACAAAGCATGTGTGGGAGCTTTGGGTTCTAGGATGGGCTTTTCATGGCCTTGTGACCGAAGCCCGGAAACGTTGCAACCTATTTACACCCCAACCCAGAACGACAAAGCCTACAGCCAATACACTGGACAGAAAGGCTTAATCCCTCTGGAGCCTTGTTTGTCGACCGCCGCGCATTGGGCGATGATCGTCTGTGCCATGGCCGTGTTCTGGGCAGGGCTGAGGAAAAAAGAGCCGAGGATATTCCTGCGGAGAGGCAGAAAAGCCAAGGGTTCTTCAGTGACCAAGGGGCACGTTGGATGTCATGTTGACCTCGACTTAATAAACCCCCGCCACCCCCCGCCCCCCCTGCACACCCCCGTCGATTGATCTATCTCCGATCTGGGGTAGCTTCGGAATAATAATGCCCCATGAGTTTGAAAATCGATGTAGAATCAATTGAAGTCCAATTGAAATCGTTGCCGCGGAAAAATCATGTTTTTTCAGGATCTTATAAATTTGGTGGTTGTTGTAATTGTGTTCCGGCAGCCTGATTTCACAAATGAGGGGGTAGTCCTTAATGTGAGGTCAACAGTAGGGTTCATGGCAGACATCCAAACATGTGGCAGGAACATTGGGACTCGACAAGGAGTCCTGGTCCATCTTCTTCTTCAGCCACAGCTACGATGACTTTTTCTGCGCTACGACTATTTCTTCTGTTACTTACTAGCGCTAGTAGTATTTCTAATGCTACTAGCCGCCTGCAAGTAGCAGTGTTGCTACCAATAGTAAGAATCATGCGCTACTAGCGTTACAACAGTGCTATCATCCTTTGTAACCATGGACTTCTCCGACTGTAGTGCCCCTACTGCCCTATTGCTTGTGGCTGAGTGCGAAGGATGCTTCTGGAAAGCCTGGGTCACCTTTCGTGCAAAAAAAACGCTACTGTCCCAAAGTATTTTGAGGAACCCGAAACTTGTCGTGATCGAGTCGCACTCATTTTAAGTATTTCCTGTTCATGACAAGCATGATGTTGGCCTGCACGCCCGGAAATAAACGCCTGGTATATTCTCCTAGATGCTTACAAGCTGGCCCTTCAAACAACTTGCATTGTAGTGCGAAAAGGTAAGGATTGCGGCCCCGCATGCACCACCAAAACAATGACATCCCAGAGGCCGGGGAAATCGGCAAAACAACCTCCTGCAGCTTCAGCACAAGTCACAAGTCAGCAGAGCAGGGCTTGCAACAATCAACTACAGTCTTATCCAGCGATTGCCATGGCCTTTTCATGATTCATGGCAAATAAAAAGGAACCTACCCCATTGCCTTATCGTTTCTATGTTGTTTTCCGCTAGCAAGGGCCAATGGAAGGCAACTATCAAGGCCAGGCATGATGGTCGCTTTCTCAGAATCTGCGCTTAGAGTAGGGAGTAGCTTTAGGACAGTAAAACAAGCCCTAGTGACCCCTAGTGTCTAGGGGTCAGGTCTAAGGTTTAGGCTTCAAAGGCCTTTTCTAGTATGCATTCAGTATTGATGAAGGCAGCACTCTGACGCCTACACTCATGTGATGGTTGAGGACAATTCTCGATTGTCATGTTTAAGGCATTGCAGGCTGCGGCTGCGGCAGAGGTACTTTGAGGGTATCGATATCTCTTGTTGTTTTCAGTGGACGCACTCCTTCAGCCATCTTTTCCTGGTGCATGCCAAGCTTTGCATTATCAGGCGGATTGCACTGCGTATGTCACTTCCGTGAATGCGGAGCGCATAACCGCAGCGTGAGATAGATTGCACTGCGGATGTCACTCCTCATTGAAGTGCTCATACCTCAGGTCATGGAGGTGCTGGGAGCGTGGAGAAGGGTGGGGCAAGGGGTAAAGCACCATGAGGGACTGTGAACTGCCACGGCCGGGTCTGCAGCATGCGGGGACAGATATATAGAAACATGCCGAGATACACTGAGGCAAGCACAAACAAGGTTAACAAAAAATCTCTGTCAGCTCTCGATGATCCAGTTTTACGGGAGCTTCTGCAAAATGCTATGCAATCCTACACGGGACCCCACAGTCCCCTTCTGATGATTGCTACGCATAATCCCCCAAATCTTTTAGGTCCGTGATGCCACCCGTCTTTTCAGCAAGCCAGCCCCTTCACCAAGTCCAAATCTAACGGCGCCCAGTGTGATCTGGAGTCTAGCCTCAGTCAGAGAATTCTTAACTAAGCATCACAGCTTATACATGTGGGACGCCAATCATTGCAGGGTACGTCCTGAAGCCGAAACCCTAACCCAAATCTTCAAACTGCAGACCCCCAAGCAAAGGCTGAGCCCTAGATCCATAGAAGCCTTGTGGAAGCAAAACTGCCAAAAAAAGGTAGATTTACAAGACATCCAGACACAGAAGTCATGCTATCTACAAGAGGCTTTGACTTCGAAATGCCTGCACTAAAAAAGGGGGACCTTAAGAGCCGCTTTCTACAAAAGACTAAGCTCCTTGGACTGCCAAAACCCTCCTAAATCACTAAACACACGAAATCCGCAAACTTTGCAATCTTCGCTTAGGCCCGGGCGGCCACACAACCAAGTTTTACGTTGGCCGCCGGCACTTCCCGCTGGAGTGCGCATGCCTCGTTTCAGGGTTTAGGTTTAGGCTTTAAATCTGAGGCCCGTCTACGGTGAGGAGCAGAAAATGTCTGAGGGAAGGAGGGCCTATGCAAAAAGCCACAACATGAGGTACGGCAAAGGTCTTGTGGTTTGAATCCTAATATTCCTAGGTCATATGAAGGACAGGCATGTGGAATCACAACCATGGATTCATGTCCTGAGTTTTCATCCAGAATGACAGCAATGGTCTAGGACCAGACTCAAGTCAACATCAGCCCCTTGGGAACACCTTCGCCATGAAAACTACGGAAACCTTCTTCTTGCCTGAGATTTGCTTCCTGTCTAGGCCTAGACTCACCATTGTTAAAACTCCACATATTCTCCAAATCCTTTTTTCTCACATTAAGCCCTTCTTAGGGTCCCGGCGGCCGACATTCACAATGTTAATGCTGCCTGCATTCTCGCCTTGAGAAGGCTAAGGCGACTGTGATTGTGTTTTATTGTCAGGATTTCGTGATTCGGGTCTCCGGCTAACGGTTCAGGCTTTTAAGGCTGTCGGCTCAGGCTGAGCCCCTGAAGCCCTGCCCTGAATCCCAAACGCTTGAACCCCTGAAGGCCTTGCGTAGAGTTTCCTTCTCCAGGTTTGGGGTTGAAGGTATACAGCTGTAAGTTTAGCATTGCGTGGGGTGTAGTGGTTGGGACATCGTGTTCTTGGGTTTGGAGTTCCAGGATTGAACCAATCCTGAACCTTGCCCAAACCTGTGTTGTTCGTAGACCTAAGATATACAAGAGGTGTGAGTGCGCGCTGCTTGAGGCCTTGTAAACAGAGCATTTCACGGATTACTTCGGCGCCAACTTGGGGCATAACTCCGTTCTAGAGATGGATAGCATGAAGCTCTTGGCGGCACACCCTTCATTGACTGCCCATCTTTTCCACAATCATCTAGGATTCAGGGTCTAGGGTTCAGTGGGGTCTGCCTTGTCCTTGTACTACATGTCCTGAAGCCAAACTTACTCCGTTGTGTAAATGCACCTGCCCGCATCTATGTAGAAGCACAAGGCTATTCGGAAGGCTGAAAGGCAAACCTTGAATCATACTGGTGATACTTCGGGACGTAGTACATAATCAACACATATGCACAGCCTCAATCCCCATGTTTAAGTTACAATCCCCTATTCTTAGTGAAGACAATCCTCCATTACTGAAGACAGCCACAGATCAGACTGACCCTAAACTCAGAGAATCAAGGATGAGTGTTCCTAGAAGCATACCATCCCTGGGGCCTAGATAGTGCCTTTTGATCATCACGATGCGCCTGCACGCCTTACAATGATCTAACATCAACATGCTAGGACAAAATGCTCTCAAACCATTACCCGAAACTCTCTTGTCATTCCTGTGGCAAGGAAGACTCTAGCACCTTAAACCCCGGAATGCTTAACATCTATCTCACCAGTTTACGCAGGCATGGAAATTATCGAAATTAAGATTTGGACACCAAATATTGTAGAGCATATACATGTGCCCTGTTTTTGCCAACAGCGTTTCTTTCTGCTTATGTGGAGACCAATGAAAAGAGTGGGAGATAGAGAAAGAGACAGGAGCGAAACAGAATCCATTTACACACATAATCCTCATATAACCTCATATAATATGTAGAATTTGCAAAGCTCTATTCTGACAGCACAGGCCGTTGCATTGCCTTCGCAAGATCTGACAATCGCATCCTGCTGTAGTTGATGGCACAAAGTTTCTGGCTAGCGATAACCACTCGGGATACCTAGACTAGATACATATGCCCCGCCTGATGCAGGAAGGCGCACGGACAATTCGCACTACCAACCTCCAAATACAGAAGCCAGGGCCCCGAGCTCCGGATATATTTTTCGTGCCGTAGCCTCAGATTGGGAAATTTTGGATTTGGGGGTAGGAGCCTCGGCTTCTTGAGCAGCTGTACGGCTTGGGGTTGGGTTACGGGGGGTCAGGGTTTAGGGGGTTGGGGATTGGAGGTTTGGGATCGAACTGTTCAACTCACATGGGCAAGGATTGTATGTGGGCTGTAAGGGCTCTGTGAAGGACTGAAAGATCAGGATAGGCGTCTACGATCCTCAGAGCTCTTGAGATTGTGGGATCCATTGGTTTTCGGTTGGGGTTGTTGATGGGGCGCAGGTTTGAAAGACTGCAGCCAAATTGTTTCTACTGTCCTGATTGCAAACGCCGCGGAGTATCCAAACTGCAATATCCCACCCCTGAAACCTTAACTCCAAAAGACCCGCCCTGTCTCTCCTGCAAAGCCCGGTAGCCTATCTCAGGGATTGAAATTGCACTTTGGTTTGGGAAGAAAATCAACTCAGAAAAAATCATGTCACACTAGCTACTTCGTCTACAACACAGGGAGAAACGACAATCCATACCAAGCTGCCTTCGGCGGTGAGAAGTTGTCAAGTGCCTGAGGTTGTGTCTGTGTTTTGTAGTTTGATTATAGCGGAGAATTGGCCATGCAGGCTACAATACTGACCAAGAGTAAACAACACCAACCCCAAAATGCGGGCTGTACCGCGACTTAATGCCCAAGCTAAATGTACAACTCTTTCTAAGCATAAATGTTACTTCCCAGCACATGAACAAACATTGCTCTCTGCAAGCCCGAAACTCCTGAACTTGAAGCCAAACAACCGTAACCCATTGATACTCAAACCCTCAATTTTCAACTTTGGACACTCTGCAACCCGAAACTGGGCTACAAACTATTGCAAAAAGACAAAGCCCGAAACCCTACTTTCCCGATCCCCAGACCCCTGAAACGCCTTTAACAAAATGTGAAACCACCCTGAAAACCCTGCGGCCGGTTCCTCGTCAGCGGGGGCCTTGAAGCTTTCTCTCGGTGCGCCGGTGATCTGTCACAGTCAAGTTCAGGATTTAATTGATTTGGAGCGGGGGTTGAAGGCCAAAGATCTAATCATGGCAGGTTGAAGGCTTAAGGGTTAAGCGTGCAGGGTTGAAGAGTTTTGGGGCAGTCCGTAAACAAAACAGCTTTAAGCAGATCAAAGCCCAGAGGTTCTGACGTGAAAGGCCTGGAATGCAGCGTTTCTGGGAAGTTTGGGAGATAGGCAGCTTGGGGTGCTAGAGTCTGGGCATTGGATGCTTTACAACTAGGGTTTGTAGCTCAAGGCTTTGGCATGCAAAGGTCCAGGGTTGGATTTGGGAAGTTTAAGGCCGCGTACGGGGGTGCTTGGATGTGGGATTGTAAAATGTCACGGCATTTCATACCAGGCACTTTGTAAAAACGCATGAAAACGATACGCTTCATCAACGCATGGGACCAAGGAATAGGGTTTAGGGATTCGCCTGCGGGGCGGTGTCCGGTTGCAAATTCAGAGGGTGTGTTTGTAGGTTTTGGAATTGATTTAGGTTTTTTTCAATTTGGCTTGGGGTTTGCCGGCTGTCCGATGAACTGGAATCTGCCAAGGATACCTAAGACCACAATTAACGCCTATAAGCTATTTTGGAAGGTAGAGATGAGTGTGACGAGAAAGAATCATTACCTATTGATCTATCCATGCTCTGGTTTGATTCACTACAAAACACTGTAAGTACTGACAAATCTGCTGTTTGGGAATACACGCATTTCTGAATAGAAAGTTCGCAATGGTAGTCCTAGGTCTCCTAGGCATGATTAGTTTTGAGCCTGATCTTCAAATTTTCAATCAGCCATAAATTCAAGAATTTGGCCATCCTCGAGTTATGTCTGAGTATTTGGTATGAAGAAACCGGATTCAATAAAGAGCGTATATAGCCAAGAACACGTATTAACGATCAAAATACCACAATTCAACGTTTTCACTTAGTGAGGAGTGAGCGGATAGTTGCTGCTTCTTATTTAGACAGTGAGGTCTTTCCTTCTCAACATGAGAACTCTCTATGCATCCAGAATAGGGTGCTTGTTTTTTCATCGTATTACGTATTTTCGAGGTTCTCTCTTAAGATTTTTTCATGTCTCATGAATAGGTTAAGCAGTCTCTGCACCTTTGAATCGAAAGCCTTCTTACTCCTTCAAAGCAAATTTGCAAAACTTTTCAACTCCACAAAAGCGCCTGCAGATGCATCTCAAGTTCTGTCAGCTTGCCATGTGAGACATGTGGAAAACCATGTACATGAAATTGGGATAGCACCCCTCCTCAGGCTTCAATACCTCGTTTGAAGACTGTAGCCAAAAGCCGCATGAACACTATGTCATGCTGTCCGAACAACTTCACACCTTAGTGTAGGGCATCCGGATTTTGCCCCAAAACGTGGAAAATCAACCCGTCATCTGAGCTCTGCTGACCCAAATGAGCAAAACATGTATCCCCCGCATCATCTTTCAGAGATGGTAGAGTTGAATACACCCAAATCTTAAACACGAGAAAGCTGGCAACTGCACATGCATTCTGTTGGTAACTGTACAGCTACAGCTCATCTTAGTTGCGCTTGATGCATGAACTCAGTGCACCGTATCGCAGTCGCCATCAGCAGCGGTCACCGAATTTGTTCACAATGCCAATCAACGGCTTCTGCGCTTGCGCACAATCGGTGGATTCGAACCTGAAAGTACATTTGGTCTGCATTGCCCGCATGGTGCCAAGTGAAGTCGCCTATGATGCTCAGCTGTATATGTAGCAACCCTCAAAGCTGCTCTCAAGCATCCACATCCTGGTTCATGATAAACTTGACCATGCCCTGGGCAAAACCTCAACTCCGGAAACACAGCCACGGCTGCTGCTACTGCTGCTGCTGGAACCTGTTGCGTTGGGCTAGGATTCCAAACATGCCGATCTGGATCATATGGTTCAAATCCTGGTTCTATATTTCGTACTCGTACTCCATCTCCTTGACCATCACGCTGCTGCTGACCTTCTCCCTGATCGTCTTGCTGTTCTTGACTCTCATCTTCATGAAAGTCACTCTCTGAGTGTTCGGACAACTCTACATTGGGCTCATCCTGATTCATTCTTCTCCTCTTCCACGCGTCTCGAACAAGCCATCCAAGACCGAAGCCAAGCAAAACCAACATCACAATCACCGGCCAATATGACATGTGAAAACTCAGGCTCAAAGCGCTTTCAAAGTGAAGTCCATCAACATTCAGGCCGTACAGGTTGCTGTTCTGCGCATTGGGCTCAGTACCATTATCCTCTCCAATAGTGAAAATAGTGGATCCCATAGTCCCCTTCAGAGCATTCATTGTCATGATCATCCGCAACACCTTTGCCTCCATCTGGGAGTACTTTGCTTGCACTGCCATGTTACTGCTGAAACCCTTGAACTTCAAGTTCTGCATGAGGAAACTGTAACGCTCAGCAGAAAGGCATTTTGTCCCTATATCGGACGTGTTGAGGTGTGTACTTAATGCGCCAAAGCTCAAACGAGCTTCATTTGCCATTCGTTGCAACCACAGGAGTTTTGTGTCCAAATGCCGTATCCTACTCACTCCCCGCTTCTGCAGCAATGCCCTTGCGCTTGAGGAATCCAGCCGGCACAACAAGTTGCAATCATGAAGGTCTTGACCACACGCATCACATATACTGCCTCTGCAGCTGTCGAACACGCTGCCATCAACTCGGCCTCGCAACTACTTAGAGCAATGGCACCTTGCTTTCTCACAAAGCAATACACACCATTTCCATTGAGGAACACATGACCACACGCGCAGGAGACCCGATCAAAGTGTCCTGCCCAATCAGAATCACTCACCGCCTCAATGAGGTCAGGACTTTCCAAGTGCTCCTTCTGAAGCTGCGCTGCCTCAGTCCTTGAAAGAACTCGCTCGTCCAAACATGACCTTCCAGGGTAGCTCCATCGAAGAACTTGACAGACATCTCGAGTACGCTGCATATACTCTGCTAGGTGACAGGCATGCTTGAACATCTTCACAGTCGGTGCCCGCATTGCTCGCGCCAAATGCGCAATTGTCCACTGGCAATCAGGACGCTCAGGAGAAAGATACAGAAAACTCCCCACAGCAGCCCGGTACCTTGCTGCCCATTCTTCATCAAGCTCCTCTGATGTGTCTGGCTTGGAGATCTCAATGCTACATGGAGTCTTCCTTGTTCTTGTCCTCTTGAGGTCCAAAGTCTCAACTATCTTGTCCAAATATTTAGCACTTACTCTTACCTCAATCCCAGAATCCGTGATCAAGAACTCCTTCTTCAAGAATCGAACTGAGTCTCCCACATTTTCTGCCATTTCCGACAGCTCCAATTTGTATTTGTCTTTCAACACTCTCGCTGCTAGTTCTAGGGACTCATCATCCCCAGCCATCATGCCATCATTGACATGGATTCTCGTACCCATTCCTGGCTTTCCAAAGGCTGCTGGGCACGCTGCATCCGGAACCAATCCGGCCTCCTTCAAGTCCGCTGTGAGCTGCTCTGCCCACCATGCCGCCGCTGGTTGTTGTCCTGGCAAACAGCAGCACACCTTGTAAGGGACATTATCCAGTAGGACATAAAGTTCAGCACGTTGTGGCACCGTAAGGAAGGCGTCTTTTACATCGAAGCTCTGCATCTTCCACCCCGACCTTGATGCTACTAGTGCAGGTATCAACTTGCTTGTTGAAGGGCTCTGACTCGGGGCGTAGACGTCTGTTCTGTTCGGGCCCCAAATCTTCAGTTGCTTGCATACCAGCCGTGCTCTTCGTTGCCATTGATGTTCTCTGAACCTCCAATCGAGGACATGCTTAGTATTGAGCAACTCTGCACCCTGAGGAAGAACTTCAACTTGTTCCAACACTCCCATCTGCACCAGCCTAGAAACTTCCTTGGACTTGGAAGCCTCTTCAACCTTGCTCATCTCTTCTTCACTGAGCTGTGGGGGTCCTACATGTTCAGCTCGGCCATGCCACGAATCCCAATGGCCTTCATCGTCTTCTTCTTCATATGCTTCATCAGCCTCATCAGGAAACTCTAGATCTAAATGCTCATCAAGAACATAGAGTTCCTCACCTGCCACATTCACCGCTGAAATTCGTGACGTTTTAGTAGCCGGTGCCATACCTGCATACATAGGAGGTGCTGCCAACGACTTTGGCACTACTGCCGGAGCTGGACGCTTCTCGCCTTTCTTCTGCTCAATCTCCATGTTCTCTGCCACACCGCCTTGTTCAACTTCAGCTTCTGGAACTCCCTGAGACGGGCTGTAGCTGAGATCCGAACCGATTTCAGCCCCTCCTGAACCTCTATCTGAATCTGCTCGAACAAGCTCAGACAGTAGACTGGAGGTCCTGGACGGCGCAGACTTTGGGGATGATACCGGATCTGACGCTGCTTCATCACGCGGTGAACTAACTGCCTTGGTCTCCTTCTTTCCAGGTAGTGCTTGTTGTGCTGGAGGTAATGGGGCGGATTCAATCGCCTCAGGCTTCTTCCTATCCTTCATGCCCGGGATCACTACCTTGCCGAAGGTACTCAAAGCAAATCTGTATGGCTTTCCTTGGAACTCCTTGATCATCACCTTGCTCCATTGTTGTTCTGGAGGAAGTCTTCTTATTGCTCCTGACAAGAAAATCCCCAACGCCGTCCCGCAAATATTCATGTCATTCAACAATGTCTTGCCAAGCCACACGCCCTTCACGAACTTCGGTTTTCCCTTCCGGACATGACTTTGGTTGAGTGCAAAGAACACCACTTCTCCGAAACAGGCTAGCTTACCTCTATAGCCCATGTGGAATGCCCTCTCGAATGGAGCGGTACCTGCCCGAACAGCAAATGCATTGTGCAACATGGAGGCATGGATGTAAGCCCAGCCCACCATGTCATCGCTCGTGCGAAGTTCTGCTCCTGACTTGTGCTTCAACTGCTCGAGCAATGTGGTACCCAAGTCTCTAACGCCTTGAACAGCTTGCTCTGCTGCTCCGTTTGTTGGATGTTCATAGGGCTGACAGGGCTTATCCACGGTTTTGAGACCAAGCTTTGAGCGCGCCTGACAAACCATTCTGGTGACCGCCACCGCTGATGGTTCATTATCACCTCGAGTCCCAACTGCATTGTATCCCAGGTATGCAATGAAACCCAGGATCTCCTTGGCCCCGTGCACCAGTGATTCATCTCCTTTCGACGGAAGCGGAATTGCTCTGCACATCCCTGTTGATTTGTCCACAACAATCATGATTGTCATCAACTCGCTGTCCTCTGGTTTGGCTCGTAGGAACTCAAGCTCCTGGCCGCCAACATCAACATAGAAGAAGTCAAAGCAGATTATGGGATCCCCTCCTTCCGTATCATGCCTTTCATCATCCTGCCGATGTGCATCTCGCCTAGACCGACTGCTTGTGCAGAACTCGCACCACTTCTTGAAAGGAACATGTGTCAGCGCATGCTCTGCAATCTGCTCCGGTGATGGTTGCTCTGGTTGTGGCTCTGGTCGAGGCTGGTGTTCATGTGGTCGTGCTGCATTTTCAAGTGCTATGGCATCTTCCAACGCTCTCTTCTTGGAATGAGATAATAGCCTCTTGTACAAGACAGTCTTGGACCCTGACATGCCTAGCCCCAAACGTTGGCAGCCCGCACGTAACTCCCTTGCACTGGACTCTGGCCCTAGCCTGACGCCATCCACATTCACATGCTCGTCCGAATTTCCTGGCAGAAGAACAGGTGCAGGGCTTACTTGTTGTGATTGGTCTGGCTGATCCTGTAAATGAACTCCTGGAAGCTCGACACCAGGAAGGTCGATCACCTCTTCATCTTCCTCCATTTCAGGGCCAAAGAAGGAGCTAAACACAGGATCCATTACACCTTTATCATCCGCCTGCTTCACTGGGTTGTCTGCAATGAGCTCCATTCCATAATGTTCTGGGTCATGACCTTTACTTCGATGCATGACAGTGAAGATCGGAATCTGTACTTCACCTTCCTGAGTGAGTGGCTCGGACAGATTCACCAAGTCTTCAAGCGGCTCCTCATAGTCAATCAGCTCCCAATCGCCATGCCTGTACGCCAGCGTAGCGCGATACTTCCAGAGCTGAATGCCTAGATCTTCTGAAGGATCATACCGCGCCTTCCCATATGTTAACACACAGGGGTCACCGCATTCTAGAAATCCCCACTCAGGACCTTGCGCATGAATGTTGTAGGTTGTCTGAACAATGATACGTGGTTGATTCAAGGCTTGTACTATTGCTTCTTGTTCACCCACTGGTCGTTGTTCATGAGGTTCTGGGCTTTCTACACCTTGGACTGCAAACACTTGCGCATCGATTACCAGGCTGTTCTTCTTGAGTGAGACTGGGATTGCCACCTCCTCTTCATCATTGCACAAGTGCAACATGTTGTCACGGTGCGAAAGACTCCACCCCTTCTTCAGTAAACGGCCTAATGACAGCAACGGTGTGTCCACATCCGACGCATGGAAAATCTCCTGGACACAAGCCTGCCCCAAATCCAAGGTCACGCATCTGGTGCCCAGGTTTGGCATGATGCCTCCCTGAGCATCCACCATTCTGACTGTTGGTCCACCACTTGTTTTGGCGCCGATCCCTGCCTCCAACCATGCCCTAGGCATAACACTCAAATCAGCACCTGAATCCAGCACAACTTGGTGGAAGCTTCCATCAATCAAGGAACTTGCTGCTCTACTTGGCTGTCTGATTCCACGAACCTGCGCATCAACCACCCACTCTAGGTCGGCTTCATATGCATCATGCATGGTCATGTCAAAGACTTCTTAGTCACCTACAGGGTACTCAATGACTTCCTCTTGTTCATCGTCTACAGAGAGGTCATAGTAATGGACCATTCGACACCACCAGTCTGAGACAGACACGGAACCCACCTCAGAGTCGTCGCCTTCCATCTCATACACTGTGGTAAGGGGAACAACATTCAAATCATCATTTTCAGCCAGGTTGAAAATACGCTTCACGCTTGACGTAGTAGATGAGGATGAAGAGGGAGTAGATGATGCTGTAGATGAGGAGGTACTCTCATTTGTCTGAACATTTCGAACCTTGTCTTTCAACCAGCACTCATTGCCCCAATGGCCTGTCTTGCCACAAATTCGACATGTGTCTGGATGAAGTTTTCCCCCTCCTTGGCCTTTGCCTTTCCTTCCTTTCTCCCCCTTTCCCCAACCTGACTCCTTTCCTTTTCCTTCTTTCCCTTTGGACTTCCCTCCTTTTCCGCCATATTTTCCGCCACCAAACTTGCCGTTGTCCTTACCGGAGTATCCTTTGCCCTTTCCTTTACTTTCTTTTCCTTTTCCTTTCTGACCATTTCCATACTTGCCCTTGCCTTTCTCCCATTTGCCCTTCACCCGGTCCACCTCCATGTCAGCTTGTCCTCCATCATCATGATATCCAACTTTTGGATGAGCAGAATGACCCGAAACGATTTGCTGAGACCATTTCTGACTTGACCTCTCCCATCTCAAAATAACCTCTCTCATTTGATCGTAGGTGCTCTCATCGTTGATGGACATGGNNGGTGGGTCTTGACGTTGTTAGGCAAAACTCTCAACAGCAACGCTGACTTCATGTCTTCAGGCACGGGCTTCGACGCTGCTTGCTCATACTTGCGGAAAAGGTCTTCAAGCTTCAGCAGTTGCTCCAACAAATTGCCCTGACTCATGTTGGGATACTGAGAAATTGCGCCTAGAAGAGCAAGAGCCCTCGTCTTGCTTGTCGGAGCCAGTGTTGTGTGGAGAACTCTCCACGCTTCGAAACCATTATTGCCTGCAATGCTCTTCAACAATTGCAACGGACGCTCTTTCAACATGGTAGTAGTGAGGATTGCATACAGCTGCTTTCCCATTGCAATAGCATCATCAGTCATGGTGTCCTCATCAACTTCAGCTGACAGGTCTCTCTCAACCTCTTCCATGTGCGCATGAATATCTGAACTTACGGCTAGCATCCATTGCTTGAAAGTCCATGCCCACTCATACCATAAAGTGAGTTCTTCTTCTCGATCTTTAGGACGAAAAACTTCTGGACGTTGCAGCAATTTTGACCACTGAGATCCTGACGAGTTCTTGCTCCCCATGTTTGTGACTGCTTCCCTTAAAGTAGCAGCTTGCCTTTCCTGTTCCACAGACATAGCTTGCACCGCTGTCATGAAACTTCTGCCTTGTTCTTGGTTTTGCTGCAACATATTGCCTAGTACTTCAAGCATTTGAGGCACAGGCACACTCTGCGCAATCGAAGCTGCTGATAGTGAACCTGGATGTGACTGGGTACCTGCGCCAAAGGGGTTTGACGCTGATGGGGCTGATCCTTGAGCTGCCATTTCTTCAACAGTCGGACACGCAAAACAACTTTTCAAAGACGCTCTTCTTCACTGTCCAAATCAATCACCGCACCGGATTTTAGCACTGGCGAAAACTTTGCTCTCTTAGGACTTGATCCAAGAAGTGGAGCAGGAAGCGAACCAAGATCTCCCAATTCCTCCTTGCCCTTGCAAATCCCGCGGAAAGTACTTGTAGCAGAGGAGGATGCCGTAGGAGAACCCTTTGAAACCTCAGAGATTGCTTGCTCAAACAAGGAAAGGTCTCGTTCGATATTGTGATGCTCTGCTGAGCTTCGTAGGAACTCAAGCTGGTTTTCCCAAGGGATTGCCTGCTCAACACACTCCTCTGCGCTCAGGAACTCAAAGGCCGCTCGAAGCTCCGGGTCCTTCAGGCACTTGCCGGCGAACTGAAACAGTTCTTCAAGAGAGTGAATACTCTCCAATCGCTGATTCAATGCGTTCTGCGCCGTAACCAGGATTGTCCGCCACCCCTGTTCCGTCCTATAGCTTGGTTTCTCCCTTTGCAGGAGTTGTTCCAGATAAAAGGTTCGAAGGTGCTCCTTTGCAGCCTCAA